CTTGAATGGCACCTCCAACGTTAGACAACCATGTGTGGCTGCCGACTCTTCCGTTGCCACCCCTTGCTTTGTCACCTCCCTTCTGACTTGGAAACACTAAGGGAAGCCCTAGCTGTCTTTAGGTTTTATGACAGTTTTTACACAGTCACTGCTGTCCCTTCTTTCCCGAGCAGTGACTGCTGCCGGCTTTGTATGTCCTTTTCTGTCTGTGAAGTCACTGGCCAGCACTGGAACAGCAAGCACTCTGTGTAACTAGCAGTCCTTCTAGTAAGAGGAAGGCACCCAAACCGTGGAGACAGCGCTGTGGAGTCCCGCCGTTTGGGCTCACCCTGCGACATGGAAAAGCTTTCTTCTCACGATTGTTGATCAAGAAGATCTCAGTGACCAAATTTGTGGGATTGCCACACGCTAGCAGGCAGCCAGCTGTGAGCACACAGGGGCTAGAGGATAGTCACTTCTGTCTGGGGCCCAGGACCCCAGAGCTTCTAACTATAAATTGGGGTTCCTGTGACTCCCCATTCTTTGGGCTCAGTTAATTTATTAGAGAGGCTTACAGAACTCAGGGACACAGTTATTGCAAAGGGTAGAGTGGGTGGGAAAGGGGCACAGGGCTTCCATGCCCTCTCTAGGTAGAGCACCCATCAAGAATCTATATATTTAGCCTTGTAGAAACCCTCCAAACCCAGTCTTCTGGGGTTAATGGCTGCTTTGTTGTTTGGGTAGAGTTGCTTAAATCATTGCCATTAATGATCAACTTAACCTTGAGTGCCACCTTCCCCACTGGGTTGGGAGATAGGGATGAAGCTGAAAATACCCCAACCGTTCAATCATGAATCATGCCTTGGTCTCTCCTGTGACTTGTCCCCACCATAACACTACCTGGAGGCTACCGGCTACCAATGACCTCATAGCAAGCAAAAGCAAAACATTTCTTCTAAATATTTTGGGGTCTGGGGGTGTTGTGTGCAAATACATACTTCACACCCACAAACATCCTTCCCGTTCCACAGTAGACCCTGGGGGCTACCCAACTGCTTCCCGTAATATACGCACAAACTTTCTAAGAATTAAAAAGGAAAAGTAGGGTGAGGAAAAGACATTCCTGCCTAGTCCCTTTCAGTACTTTACACTTCTAATCTTGATAGGCGCAGCATGCCTACAAAGTCTTTCCATCCACCCACCTTTCCCCTCCCCACTTCACACACACACACACCCGCTTTTCCTTGAGGGAAGCACTTTGGTCTGGCAAGCGTATTATGTGTACCTTGAGACTAGCAATTGTAGAGTAGATCCATCTAAAGTATGCTAGTCTCGATTCTGTTGTGATACATTCTTTAAAGACAAAAAGCTGTAGACCATTTGCTTCAATAATCAAGAATAGTTTCTGCGTTTTGAGGGGAGAACGTGGTCCAACATGCCTTGCAGGCTCTCTGCACTAAGTAGATCATGGATTAGTAGTTGTTGTCCAACTCTCAGGCAAACCAGGTTGAGCAGAGCCTGGGGAACCGTCCAGTCTACCCTGGAAAGCCCTGTGCTTTCTGTGGTGTATGCTTGTGCTGCCAAAAGCTGAACCCTTAGAATAAAACCTAAGGGGGCTGATGATTCATTAGATACATTGGTGGTATTGCCACTGTTGTATCCCATTCACTTGACGCAAAGAACTCGGTAATGGGCTGATAACACACCCAGCGGGTGAGTGCACCCCAGTGCTGAACAGTGGTTTTGGTTACAGTGCCCGTGAATGTGAGTGTCCGAACAGACATAAAGCCTTAACTTAGATTTCTTGTTGTGTTTTGGAATTGTCACTGCCTTAACTGAAGCATCTATTTAAGCCCTCCGGATGAAGGAGAAATGCATGTCTGCTTGTGGCTCTTTGTAAATATAAGATCTATGGCTTTAAGTTTTTGTTTCTGTGGCAATGTCTCTTTGATAGTTACAGAAAAAAAAAATGGAGCATGTAATTGTCCTTCATGTGCAAGAACTGTCCCAACAAACCCTTAGTCACCTGAATTCTAAGGTTGTTTGTAAACACAAATTCGGTGATTAAAGAGAAACTAGAATTCTACCTTCTGGTGTGAGTTTTGTACATACTCATAATGTGACTCTGTTGCCCTAATTTCTTACAAACTCACGGTTTGCAGAAGATGGCAGTGGGATAGTTGTGCCCAGCTGCTTTCATGGAAAGATGATCATTTTCCCTAAAAAAAAAAAAAAAAAAGATACCCCAAAGGATGGAGAGGTGGCTCAGTGGTTCAGACAGCTTGCTGCCCTTCCAAAGGACCCAGGTCTGATTCCCAGCATCCATACCACAACCACCTGTAACTCTAGCTTCAGGGGATTTGATGCCTTCTTCTGAACTTGGAAGGCGCCCTCACACATGTGCATACACACATTCATAAATAAAAAATAAAAGTATAGCCAGGCATGGTGGTGCATGCCTTTAATCCCAGCACTCAGGAGGCAGAGGCAGGCAGATCTCTGTGAGTTCAAGGACAGCCTGGTCCACAAAGCGAGTTCCAGGACAGGCTCCAAAGCTACACAGAAAAACCCTGTCTTGAAAAACCAAAGAGAGACAGAGAGATAGAGAGACAGAGACAGAGAGAGAGAGAGAGAGAGAGATCAGGAGGAAGGGATATGCAACTTTGGGGTCAAGTGCTCTGAAGTTGTGTTCTCTCATCTCACAGTTGTATCAGAAGTGTTCAAGTGTCATTGATTTGACACTAGGAGAGGACAACATAGACCCCTGCACACTTAATATCCAGATGTGACTCCCATTGTTAGGTGACATGAATTTTCGTCTAGTGTCTTCAGCCAGATGCCACCTAGTACAACATTCTTAGGACCGAAGAGCGACTCAGTTGTCTGGTGCTCAAAGGACCCTTTCTGTTGCTGGGGCTGTATTTAGCAGTAGACACACTGATGCTTTAGTTCACACATCAGGAGGCGTTGCTGTGGAACAAATGGAGAGGGTCTCAGGCTCTTGGTTCTCAAGCAGTTAATAACATGGACTACATTGAAAAGGGAGTTTTTTGGAAGGAGCAAGGCCCAAACTGTGTAAATGAACAAAGACATTGCTTGAACCGCATCAGCAAGGCTCCTTGTTCTTTCAAAAGACTTAGGGAAAAAATACACTATCTTACTAAGTAACGAAAACATTTGGAACATGGTTCAAAATCTACAGATTTCACAGGTTAGCCTATGAGAAGCAGATGGACTTTAATAGACCTCTATTAAACTTCGGTTCTTTGAAGCAAGTTAGTATCACAGGACAGAGGCCACTCAAGGACAATGGCGGCAACAAAATAAAAAGTTTTGATAAAACGATAGTCATAGTTTATAGAGTATGTCTAAAATGAAAGTGAAGTTGAAAATATGTATCTATGGTGACTTGTCATCGCCTTCAAAGTCCTTTGCACAACAAGGGCAAAGACCTGTTGGGTCTGGAAGAGTGAGCGTTTAAGCCTGGCATGTGCAAGTGAAACCTTGGTCTAAGCTTGGCATCTTCTTGCTGCTGCTGCCGCCGCCGCTGCTTGCAGCCATGTGAGCTCTGCTGTCTGGTGGTCTGCTGCTTTCCCACGCCCCAGGTGAAATGTGGATGCATGACTGCATCTCAAATATGCTGACTGGAACCGAATTTAAAAGGGATCCCTCTCTATTCTTTCCTGTGCTGGGCAACTTCAGAAAATGTAGAGCTCATGCTTCAAGCAAAGCATGGCAGGAGTCAGTGCCTCTGAATTGACTTGCCATGGACAGATATGTAACTATTCAAATTCTCCTCAGCTGGGCTCGAGAGATGTTCTAGGGCACTTGCTGAGGACGTGGGTTCAGTTTCAGCACCCACATGGCAGCTCACAACCACCCATGAATCCAATTCTGGGGGCTCTGATGACCTCTTCTAATCTCCGTGCATGTGGTATACATACATACACGCAGACAAAACACAAACATAACTAATAAATTCTAATTCTCAGCAACTTTTCTCTAAAATTGAAATTTCCATATTACATGTTTGAGGAATCACGCCAACCTTGGCAAACTGCTTTAGGAATTGTTTATACTGCTTTATTTCAGTTCACAGAAATTATTTTTGTCTCGCTATATTTGAGAGTCTGGTACTGTTAGCAAACTACACTGGTTTCGATCCCCCTTTTTTTTCCTTTGCACCTTTTTATAACAAGGTGTATTTTTGTGGTTTTGTAGACACCGAGATTCCCATCTACTACAGGAAAAAGAAGTTTCTCGGATGATGACTAAACAAGGCACTGATCTCTGGGAGTAGCACTAGTACTAGGAGTCATTTTATTGCTATGTTCCTTCAGCAGAATAGTAGGGTATGTTTTCTCCTAGGTTCATGATCTAGCTAGTCTCAGGTTCTTGGCCACTTGAACAGTGGCCTCTCTCTAGACCAGTTTAGCTTGTTTCTCTGTGGATGGAGTCAGTCCATCTACCAGTCTTGTGATAAGTTGAGGGAGAGGCCAAAAGTGAACAGAATGCACACTCCCATTGGGATTCCCAGCCACTAACATTGAGGGGAACCCATGTGTCATGTGTTGAGCATGTTAGGATGGAGGTGCTGTGCCTCTTCCTACTTAGAGGTGATGGCCTTGCTTAGGTCTAGTCTCTAGTCCTCTGCAGACCAAGCACAGACAGCCCAGGTGTCCATGTGTCATTCTTCATCCCTTCTTTTTTTCTTTTTTTCTTTCTTTCTTTCTTTCTTTCTTTCTTTCTTTCTTTCTTTCTTTCTTTCTTTTGTTTTTTTTTTCGAGACAGGGTTTCTCTGTGTAGCTTTGCACCTTTCCTGGATCTCACTCTGTAGCCCAGGCTGGCCTCAAACTCACAGAGATCCACCTGCCTCTGCCTCCCGAGTGCTGGGATTAAAGGTGTGCGCCACCACCGCCCGGCCATCCCTTCATTTTTGATATAAACATTTCCTTTAAAACTGCCACATGGAATTCTGGCAGGACCCAATGGGGTTCCCACATAATCTGGGGTCACTTGTTGCAGCTGGGCGGGGGGGGGGGGGTGGTTGAGGCTAAACTGAGGTCAGGTGAGGCAGGGGAAGGGACAGAAAAAAAGGAATTCTCTCTTATCTCAGACAGCAGAGGCATTGCATAGAGATGAATGGTATCACTCTTGACAACAGAAAGACTAAATCAGAATAAAATATGGCTAGGTTTAGACAAATGTGTAGACTACCTTCGGCTCATTTGGAAGACTCATCCTGTTTTGTTTTGTTTGGGGGGGTGTTTTGTTCTAAATTTTCTTGTTGTTGTTGAGTTTTTTTCTTGTCATTTTTTGTTTTTGAGACAGGGTCTCTTATTCCAGGCTAGCCCCAAAGTTGCTACATAGCTGAGGATTACCTTGAACTCCTGAGTCCCCTACCTTCACTCCACAGTGGCTGGGATCACAGCTATGTACCACCATGCTAAGTTTATGTGGTGCTAGGAATGGAACTCAGGGCTCTGTGCATGCTAGTGAAGCATTCTACCCTCTAAGATACATTCTTGGCCCCTAATTTTGTCATTTTAGCACAGCTGCCTAAACTCAATGAAGACCCAGTTGTGGACAGTTCTTTATGCCCCAAGTTTCTTGTTCCATTCACCATGTAACCCTGGCTGGCCTGGAACTTGCCATGTAGATCAGGCTGGACTCCAATTCACAGAGATCAGTCTGTCTCCAACCCTGGAGTGCTGGGTTGGTTAAAGGCATGTACCACCACATCGTCTTAGATTTGCCCTGGATCCTGGACTTTCTAGTATGCTGAAAAATAAAAGTGAAGGGCTGAGAGAGGACGCAGCAGAAAGGACACTTGCTGTGGCTTCCAGGACACTCAGGTTTCATTCCCGGTACTCACAAGGAAAAACACAGCTTGGCAGTGGTGGCCCATGCCTTTAATCTCAACCCTCAGGAGGCAGAGACAGGCAGATCCATGAGTTTGAAGCTAGACTGATATACAGAATGAGTTCTAGGACAGTCAGGGCTACACAGAGAAACCCTGTCTTGAAAGGAGAAGGAGACGGAGAAGGAGAGAGAGAGAGAGAGAGAGAGAGAGAGAGAGAGAGAGAGAGAGAGAGAGAGAGAGAGAGAGAGAACACAGTTGGTTAGGGGTGACTAGGACTTACCATCTCCGCAGCATTTCTGACAGCCATACTTACACAATAAGCAGAAGCCTGGGCCCAGTTCAGAGGGAAGGGAGCGAGCATCCAGCCTGTCTGTCTGTGAAAGGGAAACATATCCTCATTGTGTTCTGGTCCTTTTGAATTTTCAAAAAAGTATGTTTATATGTGTCTGTGTATGAAAATGTGTATGAATGTAGGTTCCTTCAGAGCCCAGAAGAGGGTATCCGATCCCCTGAAGCTGGAGTTACACGAGGTTGTGAGCCACCCAGCATGGGTGCTGAGAACTGAACCTGGGTCCTCTGCAGGAGCAGCAGGTGCTCTTAACTGCCAAGCATCTCTCCAGCCAGTGCCCCCGCCCTTATGGTGTGCTTGCTCAGGTCTCTGGAAAGAAGCAATCCCAGACCTGTCTGCTCCTCTCTGAGGAAAGTTGCTTCTAATAACTGTGCTGACTAGTTCGACGTCAGCTTGACACAAGCTAGAGCCATCAGAGAGCAGCAAGCCTCGTGAGAAAACGCCACCATAAGATCGGGCTGCAGGCAGACCTGTAGGACATTTTCTTAATTACTGATCGATGGGGGAGGGCCCGGCCCATTGTCGAGTGGTGCCATTCCTGTACTGGTGGTCCTGGGTTCTATAAGAAGGCAGGCTGAGCAAGCCATGAGGAGCAAGCCAGTAAGCAGCACTGCTCCATGGACTCTGCATCAGCTCCTGCCTCCAGGTTCCTGCTGAGTTCCTGTCCTGACTTCCTCCAGTGAAGGACTTCCTTTAATGACATGAAGTGTAAGCCACATATACCCTTTCCTTCCTAAGTTGCTTTGGTCATGGTGTTTCATCATAGCAACAGTAGCTACAACATAACAAAATGTAACCATAACATAACCCATTCAGGAAGAGCTATAAGCGTTCTCTTATCCAGGACTGTTTTTGAAAGGTTCTCATAATTCCAAGATGTTCATTTAATATTTACAAGTTGGAGACTGAGCTCAGTTGATAGAATGCTTACCTTAACATGCACAAGGGTCTGGGTTCAATCCCCAGGACCATGTAAAACTGGGCATGGTGATGCATGCTTATAATGTATATTTAGCCCCTACCTTTCAAGTGATCCCAAACCACGCGGGAAACCCATTCCTGCCAGAATTCCATGTGGCAGTTTTAAAGGAAATGTTCATATCAAAAACGAAGGGATGAAGAATGACACATGGACACCAGGGCTGTCTGTGCTTGGTCTGCAGAAGACTAGAGACTAGACCTAAGCAAGGCCATCACCTCTAAGTAGGAAGAGGCACAGCACCTCCATCCTAACATGCTCAACACATGACACATGGGTTCCCCTCAATGTTAGTGGCTGGGAATCCCAATGGGAGTGTGCATTCTGTTCACTTTTGGCCTCTCCCTCAACTTATCACAAGACTGGTAGATGGACTGACTCCATCCACAGAGAAACAAGCTAAACTGGTCTAGAGAGAGGCCACTGTTCAAGTGGCCAAGAACCTGAGACTAGCTAGATCATGAACCTAGGAGAAAACATACCCTACTATTCTGCTGAAGGAACATAGCAATAAAATGACTCCTAGTACTAGTGCTACTCCCAGAGATCAGTGCCTTGTTTAGTCATCATCCGAGAAACTTCTTTTTCCTGTAGTAGATGGGAATTAACTGACTCACAACTCAACAATGCGCAGACAGTTGAGAGACTTGGGAGCACTCTGTCCTAAATGTCCTCACAGCCCTTCCCTCAAGGCTCTGGGATCTATTCGGAAGAGTAAGCAGAAAGATTGTAAGAACTGGAGGTGATGGATGACTCTGAAGAAACAGTGTCTTCTAGACACAGCAGGGCTGATTGGTGCGCACGTGAGTTCAGAGCCTGTGGAAGCATGCACATGGCCTGCACAGGGTCAAGCCAGAGGGTGTCAGCGCTGAGAGGGGAAGTGGGCACCCTGAGCCAAGAAGCTATTTGCAGTCGGTACTCACTGACAAAAGGAAAATGTTTTCTCCAAAGGAGTGTCACTAGGGATGTCAACCGCACTCTAGGGCAGGCTCCATGCCTAGGAGCAGTTGGCCAACACAAAACACACTTCACGTTTTATTTTTGTGGACTTTTTTGTTTTGGCATTTTTTTTGTCTTACTAGTCTTTTTCTTGTTTAATTTTCATTTTTGTGGTGTTTGTTTCTGAAAGTGAGAGGAAGAACATAAAGTTGGGTGCAGGGAGGTAGAGGGATCTGGGATGAGTTGGGGGAAGGGAAGAAACATGATCAAAATATATTATATGAAAAAAATTTCTTCCCAAAACGTATCCACTTCCAGAAGTGTCGTAAGACACACATACTCAACCCCCTTGGAGCACACTAGAGCTGACACAGCATTCTTGAAAAGAAATTATGTCGGGCATGGTGACGCACTCCTTCAATCCCAGCACATGGGAGGCAGAGGCAGGAGGATCTCTTAGTTTGAGGCCAGCCTGGTTTCCAGAGTGAATTCCAGGACAGCCAGGGCTACACAGAGAAACCCTGTCTCAATAAACAAACTACCAAAACAATGGACTTCATGAAGTGAACCAAGAGCATTCAAACACCCCCCCATGCCTTTACCCAGCAGTTCTAGAAGTAAATGCCAAGAAATAGTTATAAATGTGGACAGAAATTTCTATGAAAACTTCAGTATGAGGAAAAACAAAAACCACTAAAAACACTCTAATGATTACTAGAGTAAAGCATTTCTGTGGAGTAGAATGGCAGGCAGCCACCTGTAATTCCATTTATGAAGTATGCTGATGATATGGCCAGGGAAAAATGATCAAAATATATTATATGAAAATAATTAATTAAAAAAATGATTGTAGGGAACTGTATCAGGCACTTGAACAGCTACCTGGGCAGGGAAGTGCCTAATGCAAAAAGTGCTTCATGTGTCCACAGAGGCATCTTCTGCATATTTTGTTAAATTATCTGGTATTCCCAGCAATACTGAGAGGATCAGCCATCAAGGCCAGCCTGGACTACACTATGAGATCTCACTTCAAAGGAACAAGGGAAGAGGGGCTGGCAGGATGGTTCAGTGGGTAAAGGAGCTTGCCGCCAAGCCTGATGACCTGAGTTCGATTCCCAGGACCAGCCTGGTGGAGAGAGAACTGACTCCGGTAAGTGGTCCCCTGACCTCCAAATACACGTCATGGCATATCCATGTATACACACATGTGCAAACACAAATACAATACATTTGTAAAGGATACTACAATTTCCATGGGGTTGCTGGGGCTCTTGGATTAAAGCCAGGGCCTTGTACATGTTAAGCACAAGCTAACAGTGACTACCTCTCCTGTGTTCCCCACAAACCTAAGGAAAAGTGGGCTCTTTGTTCAGATTGGTCTTCCTCCTAATTCTAGGTTACTCTGAGGTGCTGGGGGTGTAGCTTAGCGGAAGAGCGCTGTTGTGTGTTTCCACCAAGGTTTGTAGACTTTTCAAGCTTTTTTGTGTATGTGTATGAATGTGGGTCCATGCGTGTGAAGGTCAGAGGACCACCTTGGGTGTTGGTCCTCACTTCTAGTGAGATGGGGTCTGCAGATGCCTTTCCAGTGTAAGACAATCTGGCTGGACCAACTTCCAGAGACTTTCCCGTCTCTGCTCCCTCCTCCTTGTAAGAGCACTGGCGTTATAGATACACACACTGAGTGCGGCCTTAATGTGGGTGTCAAGATTTGAACTCAGATGCTCACACTTGCACAGCAAGCTCTTTTACCCACTGAGGCATCTCTCTAGACACTTAAAAACATTTTAACACTAGCATACAAAGTAATTGTGGGGAGCATGTTGAGGTCAGAGGACAACTTTCAGGAGTCTACTCTCTCCTACCATGGGATCCAGAGGTTCAACTCAGGTCATCGGGTTTGTGCACGTTCCTTTACTTGCTGAGCCAGCTCCAAGGCCCAGTAATGGGTTGTATAGTAGTATTTCATGCACAACTTATTCTAACTTGTCCCTCAGAACTTAACTCTTATCTGAACAAAACACTTTCTAATTTTCAAAAACATTTAATTATTGTATATGTACATGGAAACACTCCTGCACTTGTCTATCATTCATGTGGGGCCCGGGGATTGAACTCAAGTCATCAGGCTTAGTGGCAAGTGCCTTTACCTGCTGAGCCATCTTACCAGTCCCCACCCCAAAAAACTTTTTTTCAAAAATTACTCCACCAGGTGTAATCCTTTAATCCCAACACTCAGGGAGGCAGAGGCAGGAGGATCTCTGTAAGTTCAAAGCCAGCCTGGTCTACAGAGTGAGTTCCAGAACAGCCAGAGCTACACAGAGAAATGCTGTCTCAAAAAACAAAAATAAAAACAAAAATTACCCCATGCACGAATGTCATAATGAAACCCATGACTTTGTATGCCAACTTAAAAACTTACATTGTGTGAGCTGGAGAAATGGTCTAGTAGTAAAGAGCACTGGCTGCTCTTACAGAGGACCCGAGTTTGATTTCCAGCACCCACACAACGGCTCACAACCCTCTAACTCAGGTTCCAGGGCATCCGAACCCTTTTCTGACTTGTGTGGACACCAAACACACACATGGTATGCAGACATACATGTAGGTAAAGCATTCCTATACATAAAATAATTCTAATTAACTTTTAAAACATTTTTACATTGTGACTCAGTCTTTTCAAACTGTCTTAAACACTCGCAGGTAAGGCCTGGCCAAGCAGGGAAGGCCTGGCCACTCATTACTGGTGGTGCTTTCCCAGTACATGCTTTTTGCCTGTTTTACTTTAGAGCTTACTCATGCTTCTGCTGCTTTAAAAAGCGGGCTGGGGTGATACCCCTGGCTCAGGCGGGCAGGCCCAGGGGCCTGGGTCATATGCCACAATGCCCAGCAACTGAGATACCCAATTTCTCTTTGGGACAGATCAGGTGACTTCTTTATTTGGAGAAGGAAGAGGGGAGAGGAGAATCTCTAACAATTCCTTCTAGACTACCAAGTATCCACCAATTAACGCAATCATTATCTTCCCGACCCTGTGCTGTGGCCTTGCCTTTCCTTCCTAGCTTCTTTGGCTCTGTTTTGGCTTTCTGAGTGTTGGGACTGCAGGCTTATACTACCATTCCTGGCTAGCGTTATGGTTTTTGTTTTTCAAAAAGGCTAGGCGTTGTAGCACATACCTGTAGTCTAAGCACTTGGAAGGCTATGGCAGAAAGATCAGTTCAAAGCTACCTCAAGGCCAGTGTGAGTTAGATGAAACCAAAACACCAGAAACCATGAAAACAAAATAGAACAAAACCTAAGCTAAGAGACAAGATGTTAGAGACCAATTCTGTAGAGCAGATGTCTAGAGTCCTATTCTGTCATCATTGAGGAGATGGAAAAATCTAAGAGCTCAAGTCCAGCCTCTTCTAAGCAATTCAAACTACGTGATTACAAAGCAGTTTAATGATTACCGCTATCACAAAATGGTCAGAGCATCTGTCCACATAGCTGTACCACTTGGCATTAAAATATGATTCATTTACATTTAATATACAACTTAGGGAGCTATGCACCGGTGAAAATAAATGAGAGCAGAGAGAAGACAGAAGGGAGAAAGTAACAGCTCATTCCCTAACTGTCCAAAAACCGAGGGTTTCCACATAGGAGAGGCAAGTTAAGTTAAGACCTGCCTGGAGAAGGCAGGTCAGGCCAGCTCACAATGATCAGTGAGCTTTTCTCCCCAAACAACGAGTTATTCCTAACCTACTTCCCAGGCTGGATTTTATTAATCTGTGACTAAGTCTTCCAGGCACAGAGATTAGCCTGAGGCTGCAGTATGAGGATGGGACTTCCTGGGCAGCTGAGGCACTGGACAATATATGTCCCTGAACATAATACAAAGATACGGCACCTTGGACACTGGTGTGTCCACTTGGATACAGCTGGGATTTTCCATTCATCAAGTAGTTTAGATCTTAAATAGGCAGCAGGAGCTGCCTGCTTCAGAAGACAAGACAAGCCAAGACAAGCCAGCGCCTCTCTAAGCTCAAGGCACTGTTGTGGGCAGAAGCCCTGTCAGGTGGTTCCTGGGCTACTAGAGTAGAGGCAGCACAGAGCACCTTTCTGACCCTCCACCTCCCACCATGGGAGCCACCAGACAAGGAGAAGGCCAACACAGGCTGGCCCAACCTAATTTTGTAAATGGCTTAGCAGCAGAATCAAGTAACATGAATACAGTGGGTTCTTTTATTTTTGATTGGTTAGTTTAAAAAAAAAAAAAAAAAAGTGTCTCATTGCACGGCCCAGGCTGGCCTTGAACTCTGGCATCCTCCTGCCTCGGTCTTCCAAATGCTAGGATTATAGGTGTATGTCACCTAGCCCAACAGGGTGTTTTTGAGAATGAAGCCAAACCCATTCAAATCTGCTCAATTTCCCCTGATTCTGCGATTAAAAAAAAACCAAAACTGAATGGGTGAGGCGTGGAGAGGAGAGAGGGAGGAGAGAGGAAGACCGACCGAAGGGTGGACATGAAGAGGAGCGGGAGCAGCGAGAGGAAGCGGGGAGACAAACGAGCTCCAGGCAGCACTTCTTCCCAGGAAATTATATTGTGACAAATCAGAGAACTCTGTGAGCAGAGACGGGATGACAAGTCTGCTCACTGTGAGGGACGGCAAGAGAGGCTTGGGGAACATTTTCTTCTCTAGCGCTCGAGGCCTGTTTTCCTGCTTGGCCTCTGGGAGAAGGTGCTTGTGGGTGCTCCTGGCAGGTTTGGGTTCCTTGGCTTTGAGCCTGGCTCTGCAGTTTTGCACTCCCTGTTTTTGCAACACCTGCAAGGTGGCAAGATAGTGGATGTTGGTGGGGTTGGATGGGTACATAGAGCTCTTCTGGGGCAGGAGGGACCAGTGCAGGCAGCACCTTTGAGACTCTGCCCCCAGCAGGTGTGTCTGGGCCCCAGGGGGGAGAGAAAGGCAGCATGTCGGTGACCTTCATGTGGCTGGCCAGCTCAAAGTGTCTCTTTTCACTTTTCCCATCAACTGTCTTCAGTCCATCTGTACAAGCCACACACTCCTCCTTTTCCGTCCTTAGCGCCTTTTCTTCCGGCTGCCAGAAAATATTTCTGCCCTTCTTACTCAGCACATCCAAGCTGCTGGGGGGAGAGTTTTTCAGTGGGGGCAGAACCATGAGGGCCTTGGAATTGAGGGAGTCGGAGATGGAGAGGCCCTGGTCAGTGCTTCCGCAGGGGTTTCTGCAGGTCTTGCTGCTAACTGTCTCGGGAATGCCCCAATCTTCCATGCACCAGATAAATTCCTTGATTTGCAGGCTTTTTTTTTCTCCATGCAAGTATGTGGGAAAGCAGAGTTTGTTAGGCTCTCTGGAAGCAGTGCTGGGGCCCTGGGAGGGGCTGTGGCAGCTCTTCTCGGGGCTGACCTCAGCCACAGCACCGGCCTCCGGTTTCCCGACCTCTGAGAGGGAATGAGCCTCCAGACTCCCTTGAGAAAGGCTCATACAGAACAAGCAGTTGCTGCCCGCCACTGGTGCCTTCTCCCACCTTCCCCTTTTTCACTTTCTTTCTTGACCAGATGCAGGCAGTTGGTGAGGTCCTTCCCCAGCCGTGGACCTGCAAGAAAGTAGCGTGTTACCCTCGAGCTCGCTGTGCTAGGGCCCTGCTGCCTCCATTTTGGCCACATTCCTGTTCTGGCCGTCTTATTTGAACCACATTTTTTTTCCTAAAATTGACTTATCATAAATACACACACACACACACACACACACACACAGTCCTTATCATGTAGACTAGCTGGCCATAAACTTACAACACTCATGCCCCAGCCTTTGCTATTTTACCCTCACACAAGCAATGGTATTACAGCCATATATGCTAACCTCAAGTACCAGCAGGAGTAGTTGTTTACTGACACACTGACAGTGGCACCCTGAAAGCCACCTGAGTACTGACCACAGCTCCCTTCAGAGGCAATTCAGTTCAGCACTACGGACTCAAGCTGCCATTCTCGTCCAAGGAGTTCTTGTACTGTCAGTCAGTTTCCCAAACACAAGGAAGGTTGCTCAGAAAGGCTGGAGGGGCAGCAAGGAACAGAGGCAGTCCTGGGAACCCAGGATTCCTGAGTGCCCAAGCTACAGCTATGCCCACCTACCCCTGAAGCCTCTGGCTGTGGCTGCCATCTAAAAATAAAGGACTGTAGCTGTGATAAATGTAACACTGAGTAGTTAGGGGTCACTCATTTGAAACTCAAATAGGACAACCTGTATTTTTTGTTGTATAACCTGGAAACTCTGCATTTAATCTTGGATTTGACCAAGTTTCCTTATTATTTAAAGTTTTTATTTAGGCAGTGAGGGTGTATGTGTATGTGTGTGAATTCACACAGGCATGTATGACCAGTGTGTGGATAAGCATGCCATAGTGTGAGTGTGAAGGTCAAAGACAATTCTGTGGAGTTAGTTCTCTCCTTCCACATTTCTGTGGGTTCCAGGGATCAAACTCAGGTCTCCAGGCTTGTATTACAGGTGCCTCTACCTGCTGAGCCATCCTGCTGGCCCACAGTTCAACCAACTAAGTCATAAGGCCCCACATTCCTAATGAAATTGCGCTACCAAGGCACTTGCCTTACAGTTTTAAATGTCGGCTTCCACTCCTGGCTCTGAGAAACCATAGGCCTCTAGAGAGACAGGAGGAGACAGCCTATGGGTCTCCCAGGCACTGAGCACAGGGCTGGAAATATTCCAGCCCTCTCTGCCCAGTTATTGGTCGAGTGATCTCTGTGTACCGCATTTCACCTACTGGGTGCCTCAGCATCCTCATTCACAGAGGGAGGCCTCAGGTGGCTACTGAGATGCTGAAAGAATAACTAAATGCTCAGCTGTCTGTGCAAAGCTGTGCCATGTGTGCCCAGGAGCACACACTCCTGTCACTCTATTTCACTTCTGTCCCAAGGCTCCCACACTCATTCCAACATTTCTGGTAACATAAACTACTTTGGAAAAAGATTTGTAGTGAAGACCCAAGTGAAGAAGACCCAAGGAGACACTCACGGCTTCTTCCCACCCGGTGTTGATGGCAAATTCGCTGGCCCGTTCATCCTCTTCCAACGTGAGGTCGCTGACCCCGAGAAGACAGCAAACATGATTCCTCTCACTTCTCTCATCTGGACAACCTAAGGTCAGTGCGGTTTCTTCTGCGTCTTCAATTTTCTTACGTTCATTATTTTCTCCAACAGTCTCACTTTCCGGACAGAGATCCATTACTGGGGTGATTCCTTATAGTTTTAAACATCTTCTTCCTGCAAAGTCCAATTAAACTTGGTTTTAATATTAGTTTTTTTAAATCAAGTCAGTATCTCAAGTGGAATTTTTTTTTTTGGTTTTTCGAGACAGGGTTTCTCTGTGTAGTTTTGCGCCTTTCCTAGGACTCACTTGGTAGCCCAGGCTGGCCTTGAACTCACAGAGATCCTCCTGGCTCTGCCTCCCGAGTGCTGGGATTAAAGGCATGCGCCACCACCGCCCAGCGGAATATTTTAATGTATGCAAGAAGACTGAATAAACATTTCAAAATTACCCATTTCCAACTGCTGACAGAAAAGAGATGGCTAATTTTAATTAAAAAACTATTTTTTTTTAAATTTTGTGTGTGTGTGATGGGGGTGGTGGAGGGACATGCCAGGGCACTCTAATGGAAGTCAGAGGACAGATCATCAGGATTGTGAGTTGAGTGCATTTACCGCTGAGTCATCGGCCAACCCGAGATTGATGAATTTAATAAAGACCAAAGGAATGAAGAAAAGGCAACCGGAAGACACTGGCATTGGCTCTGTCTCTGGTTACTACTACAGCGCTCACAAGGGACGCAGGTCTACAGATGGCACTGTGCTGCCATCAAGAGAACAGTGGGAACTCCCTCAGAGTTGGCTGGGGGTCCACAAGCTTCCAAGGAAGCTGGTCAATCACATGCTTCACTCTCCTTCCTACACTTCTACCTGCCCCCACTCTGCTTCCCTAAAACAAAACCAAGCAGTGAGTGTTGGCAGAGCTATGGAGAAATCAGAACCCTCATCCCCCACTGTGGGAAAGCATCTTAGTAACCCACCATAAGGTGAAACCGGACTGCCACAGAACCTGATTAACTCTGCCCTGAGGTCTACACTTAGGAAAACTGATTCTGGGCTGGATAGTGGTGGCTCTCGCCTTTAATCCCAGCACTCAGGAGGCAGGTGGATCTCTGTGGGTTCGACAGCCTGGTCTACAGAGCTAATTCCTGGACAGCCAGGGCTGTTACAAAGAGAAAAGAGAAACCCTGTGTGTGTGTGTGGGGGGGGGGGGGGGATAAGAAGAAAGAAAGAGAGAGAAAAGAAAAGGGGAAAAAAAAAGAAAATTGATTCTCACCCCTCTGCCAGAGTCTGGACACAGTGTTAAGTGCTGGGAAGGACTGAGGGACTTACAGAAAGATGCATGGATTTTTTTTTTCTTTTTTTGCAACAAGGTCTCTCTGTGTTGCCAGACTGACCTCGAGCTTCCTGTCTTAGCCACCAAGTAGCTGGGAATTTGGATGTGGGCCATCATTTCTAGCTCGGTGCTAATGCATATATGTATGTACTGTTTGGGGGTGAATATGTATGTTCCACCTTTATATAGGTTCTGGGGACTGAACTAAGGTCATCAGGCTTGGAGACAAGAGCCTTTACCTGCAGAGTCATCTTGATGGCCTGAGCTGTGGTATTTTTTAAACCCTGGGTCATTCTAAAGACCCATCAAATTAGAAAACTGCTGCTTTTGGAAAGCTCTTCCCAACACTGAAGCAACACTGGTTTCTACACACCAGAAACATCTTCTAGGCCTGCAAGCAGAGCGAGGCTTTGCAGTGGGAAGCGGGTGCATAGGCTAAGCCTGTGGAACCTGAAAATATCTGCATCCGAATCACAAAATGCCCCATCTGGACAAAAACACAAGCCTATCAAAGCCCCCATGTTCTCTCTTACAGAGTAGCCATTCCAGCTCTTAGAATATGACTCATGGGTCATGAGAAGAATTTTTTTTTAAGATTTATTTATTTATTATGTACACAGTGTTCTATCTGCATGTATGCCTGCACTCCAGAAGAGGGCATCAGATCTCATTACAGATGGTTGTGAACCACCACATGGTTGCTGGGAATTGAACTCAGAACTTTTGGAAGAGCAGCCAATGCTCTTAACCACTGAGCCATCTTTCCAGCCCTGAGAAGAATCTTAATGTGTCTATACAGATTGATGGTGAGGACCAGCAAAGAATGAAAGATGCAGTTTAGGGTGAGCCCCATGCTGCGGCAGAAACTGGAACCCATGGTGGTTTAAGAAGATGGTCCAGTTGCATTCCATCATACCGTAGCAAAGAAAATACAGGAAAGCAATTTATACATCCATTATAAACAATGTTTTTATATGTACTTCACTCATGATCTGCACTGACTCCTTTGACGTCAGGAAAACTAGTCAAAATTTAGTTAGATCAGTGCAAAGCAATTCATTATAGACATTATAGACACTTGGGAACACTGAGCTTCTTCCTTCCTTCCTTCCTTTCTTTTTCTTTTTTTTTTTTTTTTTTTTTTTTTTTTAAGTTTTTCAAGACAGGGTTTCTCTGTGTAGCTCTGGTTGTCCTGGATCCGCCTGCCTCTGCCTCCAAGTGCTGAGATTAAAGGCGTGCGCCACCACCGACAGGTGAGAGAGAACACTGAGATTCTTGAGGTTCCACTAGCAAGAGAATGTGGCTGCCTTTGTCCTAATTAAAAAAAAAAAAATCAGGGCCACTGAGATGACATGGCAGATGGTAGGTAAAAGCCCTTGCAGTACAAGACTGATGACCGGAGTTCAATCCCCAGAAGCCAGAGGATCTAATTTAAAACAAACAAAACAAAAAACCTGAGGCAGTGATAGGTATCTATAACTCCTCCTACACCCCCAGTGAAAGGGGAGGCATTGACAACAGAACCTCCTAGAAGCTTATTAGCCAGCTAGCCCGGAACACAGAGCAGAGAAGATAAAAACCAGATGGAGGAGGGAGAAGATCAACTCCAGAGAGCTGTCTTCTGACTTCCACACACAGCCTGGGCACATCTGAGTGGCACATACATGCCAATGTAAACACCCCCACACATTAATAAACACACTTTCATTATTTTAATTATGTGGACATGAGTGGAGGGGATAATTTGCATGTGAGTACAGTACCCATGGAGGCCAGAGACAGAGAAGCCCCAGGAACTGGAGTTACAGGAAGTTACGAGGTACCGGATATGGGTTGATAGGACCAAACTTGGTCCTCTGTCAGAACAGTTGGTGCTCTTTCTTCCCAGCCTCAAAGTTAAAAACAAACCAGTTCATGGTCTGGATTTTAAGTTTTCCTGCTATAAATACACCTTCAACTTTTGCTACCCATTCTGCCATTTAATACATATTAACAGTTTAACACAAAGCAAGGATAGGCGGGTGGTGGTGGCACACACCTTTAATCCCAGCACTGGAGAGGCTGAGGCAGGTGGACCTCTGTGAGTTTAAGGCCAACCTGATCTACAGAGCAAGATCCAGGACAGTGAGAGCTATACAGTGAAACCCTGTCTTGAAAATCCAAAACAAACAAATAAGCAAAAAAACAAGACAAAAAAACAAAAAGCAAGCATCAACTAAAGCATGATGGTATACATCTGTAATCCCAGCACTTGGGAGGCTGAGGCAGGAGGAGTTCAAGGCCTGTTTCAGTCTTCCCCATCACCATCACCAAAAATAAAAATAAAATCTCTAAAAGAATAGATTGTGATTTCTAATCTGCAAAAAAAAAAAAAAATACATTGTAGTACTTTGTTTTTTGTTTTGGTTTTTTGAGACAGGGTTTCTCTGTGCAGCTTTGGAGCCTTTCCTGGAACTCACTCGGTAGTTCAGGGTGGCCTAGAACTCATAGAGATCTGCCTGCCTCTGCCTCCCAAGTGCTGGGATTAAAGGTGTGCACCACCGCCACCCAGTGTGGTTCATTCTTTTGTTTATTTTTAGCTTTCTTTTTAATATTTATTGATTTATTTATTTTGGAGCTGGAAAGGTTGTTTTGCTTCGCTTGGAGAGGACCCATGTTATGTTCCCAACACCCACATGGCAGCTCACAATTGTCTGTAACTCAAATTCCAGGGAATCTTATTTCCTCTTCTGGCCTCTGCAGCACTGGACACATGTGGTACACACGTACACACACACACACACACACACACACACACACACACACACACACACACACAGGTAAACACTCATATTCATAAAATAAGAACAAAATTGTATTAGATTTATTTTATGTATATTGGTGTTTCCCCTACATGTACATATGTACATTCAGTGTGTGCCTGCTGCTGCAGAGGCCACAAGAGAGCATTGGATCCCCTTGAACTGGAGTATGGACAACTGTGAGCCACCATGTAGGTGCTGGGAATCAAACCTAGTTCTCTGCAAAAACAAGTGCTCTTAACCACTGAGGGACCTCTCCAGGGACCTCTAATGTGTCTTTGAGACAGAGTTGGCCTTAAACTTGAAGCAAATCTCCTGCCTCTGCTTCTCTAGTACCTCAGTGCCTAGCTTGCGGTTTCTCACAAATTACATGCAGATTTACTCTTCTGTTAGAATGCAGAAGTTTGTACTGATATATTTTCATTTTTAAATTTATTTATTTTTATGTGTATGGGTGTTAGATCAGCACATATGTGTACCACATGCTTGCCTTGTGTGCTAGGAGAGGAGAGGAGAGTATTAAATCCCCTGGACTGGAATTATAGGCCATTGTTAGCCATCATGTGGGTGCTGGGTATTGAACCTGGGTCCTCTGCAAGAATAGCCAGTGCTCTTAACCCCCTTAGCCATCTTTCCAGCCCATATTTTCCATTTTTTAATTCATTTTTTTGTTTCCGAAAACAGGTTTTCTCTGTGTCCTGACTGTCCTGGAACTTGCTTTGTAGACCAGGCTGGCCTTAAACTCACAGAGATCTGCCTGCCTCTGCCTCCTGAGTGCTGCCATTGAAGGTGTGTGCCACCACTGCCCAGCTCTTAACTCAATTTTCACACAGGGTTTCATGTACCACAGACTAGCCCTGAACTCTCATAGTGAATTCATGAATCCCTGATCCTCCTGCCTCTAACTCCTGAGTGCTGTGATTACAGGCATTGGCCAGCAAGCCCAGGGCTTCAAAACTAAATTTCATGTGTGTATGTCTACTCACGTGATCAGTGAATGTGTGTACAGGAGTGTGCACATCAGGTGGCCTGCTCTATTACTCACCTGCCTTGTTCCCTTGGGACACTCTCACTGAACTTAGAGCTTACTATTTTCTGATTAGACTGCCTGGCTAGCAAGCCCAAGTATTTCTCCCAGGGTAGGCTTAAAAGATGCCTCAGTCATACAGTACTTGGCACACAAGCTTAAGAAACAGAGCACCCCAGTATCCACATAAAAAGCCATGTGCTGTATGATACGTGCCTTTAATCCCAGTGTTGGAAGGGCAGAGACAGGAGGACCCTTGGGGCTTGCTGGCTAGCCAAGCCAGTCAAAACCAGAGAACTCTTGAGTTCAGTGAGAGAAGATGTGTCAAAAAAAATAAAGTGGGTAAGGGCTGGAGAGATGGCTCAGCAGTTAAGAGCATTTGCTACTCTTGCAAAGGACCCAGGTTTGGTTTCTGGCACTGAACTCACACGGCAGCTCACAAGAACTGGTAACTAACTCCACTTTCAGTGGATACGACACCCCTTCTGGCTTCCATTGGCACCTGACATGCCCATGATGCACATACATTGAAGCAAAACACTTGTATACATGAAACTAAAATGAATCTTAAAATTATACAGATATAAAAAAAAAATAAGGTAGAGAGAGATTGAGGAAGATGCCCAAAGTCAACCTCTGGCTCTCTGCACACCTGCACGCACTCAAGCACATCTGAACACATACACACAAAGACACACAAGGAACATGGGGAACACTTTATAAACTAGGAGGTGCATATGACTGACATATCTTCTCACAGAGCTGGGAGGTTAATCATGGAATCTAAAGCCTCAAACAAAAAGTATGGGGGGGTGGATGGGCAGTGGTGGCACACTTGGGAGGCAGAGGCAGGCAGATCTCTGTGAGTTCAAGGCCAGCCTGGTCTACAAAGTGAGTTCCATCTACAAAGCGAGTTCTAGGACAGGCTCCAAAGCCACACAAGAAACCCTGTCTTGAAAAACAAACAAATAAAAAACAAAACAAAACAAAACAAAAACACAACAACAACAACAAAAAATCCCAAGAAGTTCACATTTATATTGGCTGGGGCCATCTCATGTAAACAGCACAACCCTCACCAGTGTGGAGTTTTGTGTTTTGGGTATTTTAATTTATGCTTATTTTATGAACATTGGTGTTCTGCCTGCATGTATTTCTATGTGAGGGTGTCAGATGCCCTGGAACTGGAATTACAGACAGTTGTGAGCTGCCATGTAGGTGCTGGGACTTGAACCTGAGTCATTTTTAAGAGCAGTCAGTGCTCTTGACCATTAAGCTATCTTGATTTTTTTTTTGTTTTTTTTCGAGACAGGGTTCTCTGTGTAGCTTTGCGCCTTTCCTGGATCTCACTCTGTAGACCAGGCTGGCCTCGAACTCACAGAGATCCACCTGGCTCTACCCTTTTTTTTTTTTTTTTTTTTTTTTTTTAAAGAAAGTTTTGCTATAGACCTCAGGATGTCCTGGTACTTATTAGCCTCAAATTCATGATCCTCTGGCTTGTGTCTCTGAAGTGCTAGGATTACAGGGGTAGGCCAATATACATACATCTACAGTGTATTAATAGGTAAACAACCCTAATCAGGGCTGGATACATAGCTCAAGTCAATAAAGTGCTTGCCTCATAAGCATGAGACCTGAATTTAATCTCCAGCCAGGAGCCAAAATGCTAGGTATGCATTTGTATTTCTGATGCCAGTCAGGCAAAAGATAGGTGGATCCCTGGGGTTTGGTGATCCAATTGGTGAGCCTCAGGACCCAGGGAGAGACCTTACAGCAATGAAAATTATTAAAAGTCACTATGTAACCTGCAGAAATCTTCAGGGAAGAAGTGAGTTCCAAAGCCAGACTTTGAAACTGGGAAGCTGGGAACCATGCCCAGCCACATTACTTAATATCACTTAGTACATGACCTTACTCTGAGAGGTAAGACACTTGGGACTGGATTGTAACACTGCCACCTCCAGCTCTTACAGCACAAAGAATCTTCTTCCACCCCTCTGCAGCAGATTCTTGTTAGTCACTCTCATTGTGTACAATGCAAAGTTATTCAATGACAGAACCCAGGTCAGATGCCAAATGCTCACTGTATGGAGGAGGTTGGGGGTTTCTGTTCTACCTTGAGGAGGCTATACATACATGGGCCAAGTGTGCAGGGCACAGAGATGCTGTGCCCCTACAACAGACCTCCAAACACAGCAGATCTCTGAAATATTTTGATTTTGAACTATCAGTTGATCAGCTTAGATAATTCAGAAAGGGACTCTGATGTCCTATAGTTTGTCCTTTTGCCTGAAAATACCTTTAATTTGCCAGGTATGGTGGTACACACTTTTAATCCCAGCATAAGGGAGGCAGAGGCAGGTGGATTTCTGCAAATTTGAGGCCAGCCTGGTCTATATAGTGAAGTCCAGGATAGCCAGGGCTAGATAGAAAAATAGAAAAAGTGCTTTTCCAGAGAACCTGGGTTTGAATCCCAGTATCCACATGGCAGCTCACATCCATTTTTAACTCTAGTTCTAGCCCCTGAAGGCACCAAGCACCAACTTGGTGTCCAGACATACATGGGACAAAACACCATACATATTAAAAAAAAGTGTAAAGAATTGAAAAAACAGGGCTGGAGAGATGACTCAGAGGTTAAGAGTACTGACTGGTCTTCCAGAGGTCCTGAGTTCAATTCCCAGCAACCACATGGTGGCTCACAACCATCTATAATGATATCTGGTGCCCTCTTCTGGCCTGCAGGCATATATGCAGGCAGAACACTGTATACATAATAAATAAATAAATAATCTTTAAAAAAAATTTATGCCGGGCGGTGGTGGCGCACACCTGTAATCCCAGCACTTGGGAGGCAGAGACAAGTGAATCTCTATGAGTTCGAGGCCAGCCTGGTCTACAGAGCTAGTCCAGGACAGGCTCCAAAGCTACAGAGAAACCCTGTCTCAAAAAAACAAAACAAAACAAAAAAAGAATTGAAAAAACAGGAGGATATAGATACAGTTTTGTAAATGGAGCGATTAAACAGCACATACAAAGCACTGGGTTCCACCCACAGCAAACAAGCATGAGAAAGATGTGGGCAGGAGGATTACAAGTTTAAGGTCATTCTTGACTACCTAACAAATTCAAGGTTAGCCTGAAGTACATAAGACTCTATCTTAAAAAAAAAAAAAAAGTTAATAGTTAATTCCTATTCCAATTATCAACTCCACACAAGCAGAGGCTACCTAAATGTGTTGAAGAGCTTGACACCTGCCCACAGCAAGAAAAAGTTGTGTGGTTGATTAATTATGTCTGCCACAAAAATAAAGTGGTAGTGTACACGTTTGCGTATGTCAGCGCTGCCAGAATATGACCGACTAACCTAAGATTCCTACCTCTAAGTGACACATTCCTAATCTATCAGCGAGCATGGAAAGCAGGCTGACTGGCAAGAGACAAAAGCCCAGGGTACTGAAGGCAAAAGCATGCTGCTGATGTCAGGGCAGGCTACCTCGAACTTCCTTACCACCTTGCCACAGCTTCTCATTGCTCTGCATCTCATCTTACTAAAAGCTATGGCTTTAAGGGACTGGTGTATTAGCTATCAGGATTCAGTCAGAGTAGAGGTGTGGTAGTATATGCCTCAACCACTCAAAAGGTCTCTGAGGCAGGAGTATACCAAGTTCCAAGCTAACCTTGGCTACATAGCAATACTGTCTCAAATGGACAAAACTAAATAAAATAAATGTATCTTCCTATGTTAATTAGCTGCGGCATACTTATATGCCTATGGGGTACAGCTGCCATGATGAAGCAATCCTTGAGTTCTTCCGAATTCAAGTAGGACATGTACAACCTTGAGATGAGGCCACTTCTATTCCAACCACTTACAACTCTTGCCCTTTTTCTTTTTTGCCTAGGGTCTCGATTTTTGTTTTTTGGCAGGGTCTCACTTTGCCCTTTTTCGACTTTTTGTTTCTGAATTCACTAGGTGCCTAGTCCTGAAAGGATGGCCTTCCGAGGGCTCCCAAGGTTCAAGGCAGACAGAAAATACAAGCCTGAATCCTGGCGCCCAGACCTTCTCATCAGGTCCCTCCCTTCATCTAGTGGTCCCATTACACTCCTTCCACTTCATCAGGCTCCTCCCCTTCCTCCCCGCGGCTCCTACCGTGCTACAAGCTGCTGGTTTGCGCCTTCTTTCAGGAGGTCACTGAGGGCTGCACCAAGCTCCTCCCTTGAAGTCTCGGCCACGCCCTCAAGGGCCACGCCCATCAAACGGCTCCTCCCCCGAGGCCCGCGCGGCTTCCACGCCCCGCCCAATGCAGGCCCGCCCTGAGCCGTACCTCCTTTTCGTCTCGCTTACCCGCCTTGAGGGTTGCTTCCTTCCTCGGTTCTGCCACCCGCGAAGTGTCCTGGACACTTTTTCTTGGGAGAGGACGTAACCACGTCCACTCAGACGCTCCGACGGGGCCGCGAGGGAAGGAAGGCCCGGAGCGGCTCGTCCCCGGCCGGCGGGCATGAGCCGGGCCGTTGCCCTAGGTTACGGCCGCGTCGGGGGCGGGGCGGGGGGGTGTGTCCTGGCAGCTTGGCGGAAGTGACGCAACGCCTCAACAAAGCCTCTCAAGGGAGGTAGGTCTCTCTGAGGGCGGGGTCAATGAACGTTCCCTTGGTGCTGTGCGCGCGGTTGCCAGCTGGGATGTAGTTTCCGGCGTCTGTCCAGCGGCGCCTGCGCGTGGTGACATCACTTCTGGGAAGCTGCGGCCCGCGTGCTTCGAGGGTTTCGAACTGTCGACGTTGGGCGGCCCAGTTGCGTTGGGAACAACCTTTTGCCTTCAAGAAGGGACACAATATCTGCAGATCTGGCACTTGTCCCTTCCTTCTTGAGATCCCGCGTGCTAGTGGAATGCATACCCAGAACTTCATGCAAAGACTCGTTTTCGGTTTGCGTGCTGTATAGCCTGGTGTAGCCTCGAACTCTTGGCAGCCCTCCTTCCTCAGTCTCCTAAATCAACATTAAGAGGATTACGGACGTGGCTTCTATACCTGCTGATAAGAAGGATTTCTTGTTTTGTTCTTTTCAGTGCCGCCCGCTTTACTGGGGCAGTAGCAGCTAACACTCACTGATCTTTTGGCAAGTTGGTCCCCCCCACCTCGCCGCCATGCTGCCCTCTTTGCTTTTGAGTACTGAAAGACATACCCCAGGCTGGAAACCTGTGCCTGAAGTGAGGCATTGGGTGGTAAGTCTAGCACCCCAACTCAGGTCTAGTACCAGGGCCCCTCTGCTTTCTGGTTTAAAAAGTATTCCTACAGCAGGAAAGCAAGTCTCCAATACCACTATGACTCAGTTTTTCCCCATATATTGCTATCCCAATATGTTTTATAACATAGAAGTAATGGTATGATGCATTTCAAAATTTTATTTATATGTAATTTTAGATTTATTCATGTGAATGAGTTTTGCCTGTGTGTATGTATGTTTGAAGTTAGTTTGTTGTTTTCCAACGCTGATGAGCAAATCCAGGACTTCACATGCTAGTCTATCACCAAGACGTGTGAGCATTTTGTGTTTTGAAGTAGGGTTTCACTTTGTTGCCTAGTCTGGCCTCCAAGTCCATATCTTCCCTCTGTCCCTGGGTACTGGAATTACAAGCATGTGTCACCAGACCTGGCCACTCAACCATAATTTTAATAACCGAAGGTGGACAAAAGGCTTTTAAACATCCACAGGGCCGGGCAGCGGTGGTGGTACACGCCTTTAATCCCAGTACTCAGGAGGCAGAGCCAGGCAGATCTCAGTGAGTTCGAGGCCAGCCTGGTCTATAGAGCGAGATCCAGGACAGGCACCAAAACTACACAGAGAAACCCTGTCTCAAAAAAACAAAACAAAACAAAAATCCACAGAAAAGCCCAGCAATTTGGAAAAAAAATTAAAACTTCCAGTCTGCTGAGGACCTGAGTCTGTTGGTCTGAAGCACTGGTCTTTTATACTGGAGCCTGTGCCCAGAACTCTCTAGTGGTTCACTAAAACCCAATACGGTCAACCTTAGGTGATTTTTTGTGGGGTTTTGTTGTTGCTTTGAGTTTTTGTTGTTGTTTTAAGTTTTAATGCTTTCTGAGCAATCTCGTTTTTTTGAAACTTTGGTATATTTTATTTTTTTTAAGCACTTAAAGTTTTTGACTGCATGTATATCACGTGTATTGGTGCACCACTTCCATGCCTGGTGCCCATGGAGGCCAGAAGAGGGATTGGATCCTCTGGAACTGGAGTTACAGGTGTTCTTGAGTCTCCATGTAGGTGCCAGGAATTGAACACAAGTGTTTTGGAAGAGCAGCTAGATCTTTTAACCACTGAACAATCTACACACACACACACACACACACACACACACACACACACACACACACACACACACACACACGTTATATTTCTGAGGTTTTAATTCCTTGAGAACATTCAAAAGCTTGAAGTCAGGCCCAGTGTGGTGGCACATGCCAATCTTGGGAGAGGAAAGCAGGAAAACCTGGAACTCAAGATTGTTCAAGCCAACTAGGGTGGCAGGAGTGGTTTCCCTGCCAAACATAAGCACTGCCCCTGGAGACCTCCAGCCACCAGGTTCCTAGACTACTCTGGTGGCTGGGACCCCTTAAGGCACAGAAGCAGCCAGGCCCTGCCTCCCCTTCCCTAATCAAGGTTCCTAGCCCCTCAAGGAAGGAGAGTGGCCAGGCCCTGCCCTACAAGAAAAAAAAAATCCCATCGTCCCTGAGCCTGCCCCAAGATTAGGCCACATAATCCCTCCATTTCCAGGCCACCCTGGAAAGTGGGTGTGGGTATGTGGGTGTGGTTGTAGTTGTCCCCCAGCAAGAAACCCTATATAAACTCTGTGTTCTGCCCAATTCTCTGCTGCTTCGCCCTCTCCCCCCTCCCCCCCAGCAGAAAGCAGCCACCTTCCTGGGTTTTTTACTCCTAATAAATCTCTTGTGTGAGGTATTCCTTGGGTCCCAACTGCCAGGATACCTTTCATCTGAGCTGTAACACTTACAAAGGTAGTCCTTGGCTACACCCTCCATACCAGCTTGGGCTACATGAGAGCCTGTCTCAAAAATACAAAACAAGCCAGGCAGTGCTGGCACTCAGGAGGCAGAGGCAGGCAGATCTCTGTGAGAACAGCTTGGTCTAGAGTGAGTTCCGGGGCAGCCAGGACTACACAGAGAAACCCTTTGGCGACAAACCAAAAAAAAAAAAAAACCCAAAACAAAAAACATCACAAAACATTGAAGTCAAGCATGGCTCAAACCTGTAATCCCAGCACTACAGAGGCTGAGGCAAGAGGATTGCCGTGAGTTCAAGACCAGCCTGGGCTATAGTATGAGATCCTAAATCAACTGAAGCAATCTAGAAAAAGAAAATTCCACTAACAAACTATGTTTAAGAGGGCTGGGGATGTGGCTCAGTGGTTAAGAGTGTTTGCCTGCTGTGCATGAGCCAAATAAAAGAAAAAAATGTGCCACAGAAATGGTAATAGAATAATTGAGTTTATATTCCAGATAGTTGAAAAAGCAAGTTAGCATATGTTCTGTTCAGTGTGTGTGAGAGAGACAGAGAGACAGAGAGATGAGGTTTGCATGTGTGAGAGAGAGAGAGAGAGAGAGAGAGAGAGAGAGAGAGAGAGAGAGAGAGAGAGAGAGAGAGAGAGAGAGAGAGAGAGATGAGGTTTGCATGTGCCTGGAAGGTAGAGGTGTCTTTTGACCTCTTCCATTGAGATAGGGTTTCTCAGAACCTGGAGCTAGCTTAGAGGCCATCAAGCCCCTAAAGATCCTCCTGTCTCCTTGCAGCCATACTTAGCTTTTTAGGTGGGTCTCAGAAATTTGAACGCAGATCCTTTTGCCTTCAAAACAAGAGCTCTTACCCACTGAGCCATCCTCCAGCCTGATTTTAAACTATTTTTACTACACATGAATTTTGACTTCCATATCACATGAGGTCAGGTAAGAATTTTCCACTTATGCTATTTTCAAGCATAAGACTTGGGAGCGTTTAAAAATTTATGTGTTTAGAACAGTTGGAACAGTTCAAGTGCAGTTATATTTGCTAAGGGACAAATGAAAAGTTAGACCAGGAAAGGTGAGAATCCTCCCCGTGACCAATCTGTGTTCAATACCGTATCCACATCATCTTCCTTTTCTGTGAATTGGGGTATAGTGATGAGATGATGGTTATAAAGATCAAGAACACTTATGTAATCATTACCTAGTCCGCAGGCAGTAAGAGTAATTAGCCTAATTGCTAAGTACACGAAAGACAGTCATCCATGACACCCCGGGTGTTTTTGGTGGGGACACCAAGATAAACTTGGTGGCAGCTGTTTTCCACCAGCAGTGTGGGAAAGTGCTTTCCTCTCCTGAGGAAATTGCTCCTTTGCTGCTGCTCATCACCAGGTGTGTCTGAATCTCTTCTTTACTGTAGTCAGAGGGAAGGATAGAACAGTCTGTCTACTCTTCCTTTGTGTATGTAGTCACACACATAGTTAGTTGTTTTGCTTTTGTTTGGTGGTGGTGAAGTTTGTATGTGAAGTTTGAGCTTGTCTGAGCCCAGACTTACTATCGGATCTGTAGCCAAAAGATGACTTGAACCCCTGATCCTCTTGCCTCCACCTCCCAGTGCTGGGATTATAGGTGAGAGCCAAGCTTAGCTATACATATTTGTGTGCATAACCCCTACCCCCGTCAGCATTTTTATAGTTTACTAAATTAGAGATTATGTCATATTAGCTGTCTGAAAATACCATTTGGCAGTAAGCACACTTGAGCTGTAAAGAACAGTTATTAAGTCAGAAAGTTCCAGTGTCTGCTATCCCTAGTAAATGGAAACCGGAATATGATTTAAATTCAGTCATACCATGTGCAATGCCGATCAATCATCACCCGCTCTCCCTCTTCTAAGCTAGCATGATGAGAAGTGAAGATGGTAATTTCACTCTCTGGTTTTTTTTTTAAAGATTTATTTTATTTATTATGTATACAGTGTTCTGCCTGCATGTATCCCTTCAGGCCAGAAGAGGGAGCCAGATCTCATTACAGATGGTTGTGAGCCACCATGTGGTTGCTGGGAATTGAACTCAGAACCTCTGGAAGAACAGTCAGTGCTCTTAACCTCTGAGCCATCTCTCCAGCCCACTCTCTGGTTTTTTATTATTGCAGGGAAAGAGTGGATGCAGTCTCCCACTACTGCAGGTTATATAAACTAATTTGCCTTTGGGGAAAACACAAGGGTTAATGCACACTAAGAGCAATGCGTGAACCTTGACCTGGAAAAACCCTTCTTAATCAGTCTCCCCTGCCAGGTAAGCATTAGTGATTCCTTTCTAATCATTAAAATAATTAAATGTAATAATTAAAATGACCGTGCTAAGGGATTTCTGGCCAGTACATCTTTACTTACTTCCTCACATTTTTCTTTGTTAAGGCATACATTTCTTTTTAATTTTAGATTGTTTTATGTACTCTATGCCTACATTATGCATGTATACCATATGTGTGCCTGGTGTCAGAAGGTGGCAGATCCACTGGAACTGGAGTTAGGGATAGTTGTGAGCTACCATGTGCATGCTGGGAACTGAACCCAGGTTCTCTGCAAGAACAGCAACTGCTCTTAACCTGTGTCCATCCCCTGGCTTAATTTTTTTTTTTTAATAATTTCCCATAGCTAGGCAGGGTACAGCTCAGTGGTATCCCTAGCACCAGACACACATGCTCGTACACACATGTGCACAAGCACACATTAAAAAAAACTTCCTAGAAATTAAAATTAGCCCTCAAAAACTAGTAGTCACTAAATGAAACATTAACATCCTAATAAAAACCGAGATGAACAAAGAGGATGAATGGTTTATTTGTTTCTCACTGTGTGGCAAAGCCAGTGCCTCACAGTGGGAAAAGAATGGCAGTCAACGCAGCCCATGGTAAAAACAAGACAGTACTGTCCTTCATCTGACACTGTACAATACGTTCCTATGCTCCCAGGCATTTCCAGTGAGAAGACACATTAAGTCTTGACCAAAATCCAGTGGTGGATATGGGCAAGTTACAATATTATGGGAGACTTACAACACTGTTATCCTGAATTATGGAATTCTTATAATCACTAGTTCGGGTCTCACCATGTAACTCTGGCTGGCCTGGAACTTGTTAGTAGACCAGGCTGACCTCGAAGTAAAAGAGATCTGCCTGTTCAGTGCTAGGATTGAAGGGTAGTTCATCACCAAACCCAGCTTTATAACCATTTTTTTACCATAGATGATCTCAAGAATGCTAAACACCAGAGCTTAACCCCTAGTCTAAATACCTAGTATGGGCATTATTAAAAACATGTACATTGTGTTTATCTGTACCCATCAGGAAGTTGGGTTTTTTAAGTAGCACTGTCGAGAATAGTTTCTTTCCATCAGTATTGCTAAAAGTTATTTCAAATCTTCTATTCTCCACTAATTTAAGACAAGCATGCTGGAGCAGGCTGCTTCCCAGTTTTATTTGGGAGTGGGGTGCAGTGTTCACTCCTCAATGGATTTCACGTATTTCTCATATGCTTCTTCACTCATTAATTCATCCAGCTCTGAAGGGTCACTCAGTGACATCTTGATCAGCCAACCTGTAACCAAAACAAAATGTCATTTCAAATTTCCTTTTTCGAAAGTAAAACTCCAGCTCCAGGGGATTCAATGCCCTCCTCTGGCCTCTGAAGGCACCTGCAGGCAAATGTAAATATCCTTACACAGGATATATATAAATATTATATATATCATATATATATAATATAATATATATTTTTTTTAATAAAATCTTGGGGCTGGGGAGATAAAGGCTCAGTAGTTAAGAGTACCTGTACATACACACATACAAATTTAATTTATATTTTTAAAAAAGGTGTACCAAACACTATAACTATTACGGTGTAGACGAATTTCTAAACAGTCTTATTATATAGGGGTGCAAGCCGTAGAGATCAGAGAAATAGTGAGAGCCACCAGTTAACCTTAGCTCACCACGCCACTGTAGCGCTTCTTCCTGTCTAACCTGTGCCTTTATTGCCTTGCTGTTCTGCCCTCTCGTTGGCTCTTAGTCCAGCTACCACACTTCCTTGTCACCGCCTATCTGTACAGATCTCCAGGTCTCTATGGTTGGTACTGGGATTAAAGGTCACCACGCTTGGTTTTTCCCTAGTGTGTCCTTGAACACACAGAGACTCTGCTTGCCATGTGATCAGATTAAGGGTATGTGCTACCACTCCCTGACTTTTGTTTATGGCTGGCTATGTCCTCTGATCTCCAGGCAAACTTTATTTATTAACATACAAATAAAATATCACCACATTAGGGCAGAAGAAAGACCCAGAGCCAGACATGGTGACACACCTCGAATCCCAGCACTTGAGAGGCAGAGGTAGGCAAATCTCTGTGAGTTTGGTACTAGCAAGGGCCATATAGAGAGATCCTGTCTCAAACCACCCAAATCTGCCCCCCAACAACAACAACAACAACAACAAAAAAGAGAGAGAGAGAGAGAGCCCTAGAAAGTATGAAGGGCAAGCAGCAGGTCAAAGAGAACCACAACCAAATCCTAACGTTGCCACTTACTGACTCTATGACCCTCCAGTTATACTTTTGGGATCCTCCATTCATCTATAACATGGAGGAAACTGCAGCTGGCCTAGTTCACTGGGTTACTGTAGGGCTGCGATTCTGAGCAGCAACATACCGTCTTCATAACAGGATTTGTTGACGAGCCCTGGGTTTTCTGCAAGTGCTTCATTAACTTCTGTTACCTCTCCTGACAGAGGAGAGTAGAGTTCACTGGCAGCCTTCACACTCTCCAGAGCACCAAACTCATCTAAAAGGAAACAGTGAAAGAAAATAGTTAGCATCAGGTCCGTGACTAAAAATCCAAAATGTGGCCAGGAGTGGTGGCCCACCTTTAATCCAGCACTTGAGACAGAGACAGGAGGATCTCTGTGAATGTGAGACCAGAGTTAGTTCCAGACCAGCCAGGGATACATAGTGAGATGCTGTCTAAATGAACAAAAAAACAAAAGTAGAAAATATGGTGAGGGATGTAGCTCAATGGATACAGCACTTGCCTAGCATGCATAAGGCCATGAGTTCAATCCCCAGTACTGCATACACCTGGGTTGGTGGTGACACCTGCAATCACAGTACTGGGGAGACAGAGGCA